TAAAAAAATTTATTGTTGTTGTTTAGAAGATACCAAAACAGACACCAATTCAACAGTTTCTACATGTACCATGTGGTGACACTGATTACATTTTTCCAGTTGTGCAACCGTTCTCACCTTCCTTTTCTGAGTAGTTCTTCTCCCATTAACATAAATTCACTGCCCCCTAAGGTTTCTAACTAATTTTTCAAGTTACTGTTATCAGTTTGATCCCATATAGATAATTCTTAAAAGAGCATAATGCGCAAGGCAGACATTTTTTATTAGTTAAGCTAAACTGTTGGTTTTTGTTTCTCTTTGTTGTGCTTTAGGTGAAAGTTTACAGAGCAAATTAGTTTCTCATTAAACAATTAATGCACAAATTGTTTTGTGACATTGGTTGCCAACCTACAATGTGTCAACACTCTCCTTTTCTCTACCCCAGGTTCCCTGTTTCCATTTGTCCAGTTTTTCTGTCCCTTCCTGCCTTCTTGTCTTTGCTTTTGGGCTGGTGTGCCCATCTAGTCTCGTATACTTGATTGAACTATGAAGCACATTCCTCATGTGTGTTATTGGTTGCTCTGTATACCTGTCTGGTGGCGTAGTGGTTAAGTGTTCGGCTGCTAACCAAAAAGGTCAGCAGTTCAAATCCACCAGGTGCTCCTTGGGAACCCTATGGGGCAGTTCTGCTCTGTCCTGTAGGATCACTATGAGTTGGAATCAACTCGACAGCAATGGTTTTTTTTACATACATATGCCTGTCTAATCTTTGCCTGAAGGGTGAACCTTGAGAGTGACCTCATTACTGAGTTACAAGGGTATCCGGTGGCTATACTCTTGGGGTTTCTCCAGTCTCTGGCAGACCAGCAAGTCTGTTTTTTTTTGTGAATTTGAATTTTGTTCTACATTTTTCTCCCCCTCTTTCTATCTAGGACCCTCTGTTGTGATCCCTGTCAGAGCAGTTGGTGGTGGTAGCCGGGCACTATCTAGTTTTGGGCTCAGTCTTGTGGAGTCCGTAGTAGTTGTGGTCCATTGGTCCTTTGGGCTAATCTTTCCCTGTGTCTTTGGTTTCTTCATTCTCTTTTGCTCCAGCCGGGATGGGACCAGTAGATGTGTCTTAGATGGCCGTTTGCAGGCTTTAAAGACCCCAGATGCTGCTCACTACACTTGGTTGCAGAACATTTTCTTTATAAACTGTGTTATGCTTATTGAGCTAGATTTCTCCTGAGACCATGGTCCCCAGCCCTCAGCCCAGAAACTCGGTCCCTCAGGGAGTTTGGATGTGTCTGTGAAGTTTCTATGACTTTCCCTGGGTCAAGTTGTGCTGGCTTCCCCAGTATTGTGTACTGTCTTTCCTTTACCAAAGTTACCACTTACCTATTGTCTAGTTAGAGTTTTTCCCTCCCCACCCCTCCACTCCGTGGTAACCATCAAAGATTGTTTC